TGACTGAGTACCTCTAGAGTAGGAACCAAACAGATGGACTCACCACAAGTAGGCTGCCTGTGGAACAGCTTAGAGAGGTTGTTTTTGTCAATGGTTGTGTTTGTCTGTCTGACCGCTGCACAGGGCCACCAGGAAGTCAAGCTGTTATTCGGAGCCGGGGTTCTAACCGCCGCGTATCAGCTGCACGACCGCAACCCTCTTTCCCCCTCTCTCGTCCCGCTTCAGTATGTGTCGAGGAAGAGATTGAGAGAGAAGCGGGTCTCCTTCTCTCCCACATCTGCAGCTACTGCTCTGTAAATCAAAAAAAAAAAAAAGTATGAAAGGGGGGACGTGGACCGACTGCAGTCTCCCTTCTCGGAAAAAAACAAAGCAAAACAAAAACAAGTCTCCCCGGTGCCGAGGCAGTTGCGGCGAGACTTGGCCAGCCGCAGTTATCGTTGGCCTGCGCACATGAGGCATGAATGAATTTGCATCTGGGGGGATATTTAAGTTCATCTGCTTCCTCTGGCGGACTTTCTCTGCCCCACAACTCTCATCCCAAATCTCTGTGCTGGCTCTCTTTTTGCCCGTTTGCTCCAAACCATCTTCCTTTTTCTCTCATTACTCAGTCGCCGTCACTCACTTTCGTCTGTCTGCCTCTCTCTCTCTCTTTCAGCTCAGTTTAGCTTCATGTGCTTAATTGGAAAAGCTTTACCCAAAAAGCTCTTGATTTAGCTTTTTAAGAACGTTTTTTTTGTTTTTTAATTTGACCGAGCAGTGGCAGGGGAGCTGTGGAGGAGTTGAGCAGCAGCGACCGTAAACAACCCCAGAGGTTAGACGTCTTTTGAACCAACACAACTCTTCGGTTTTATATCTGGAGATTCTTTCCCCCCCCCCCCTCACTTCCTCTTACCTTTCTTCCTTATCTCACACTCTTCATTTCCTCACTCTTTATCTTACATCCTCACTCGAGGGTTTTCTTTTACTCCTTTCAAGCTTTTTATGTCTCCGTTTCTTCCTCGTCTCTTATTCCCTTACTATCGCCTCTATTCCCAACGGCTGTATCTACAAGAGAGGCTATGGAGCTTTAAGGCTTTCTTATTTTAACTGTCATGTTTAGTTAGCATTCTGTGGGCGTCAAGTCATGTTTTCTTTTACAAGCCACATCTTCCATTTTTGGAGATGTGCAGAAATCCGAATTTTGATGTAATGATAATGTAATAATAAGTTAATCTTTGTTACAGGCAGAGATCTGTCTGACCATGAACAACAGCAGTGGTTGGTTGGAACCTAGGAAAGCTCCTCGAAGAAGGTTTTTACAAAGGTCCAGATGGGCCGAGGCATAACATTTGGCGATCAGCGCCACCTCCTGACAATAAGGGGAAACATTATGGAGGGAGCTGGTTAACGCTGAATCCTCCTTAATATTATTAAACATCACTAACAGCTACAGTCTAAATCCTGCTCCTCTGAACTGGAACGTGCAGCTTATACAGCTCCCTCAGGTCAGACTGCAGTAGGGCGGATGTTATGTTTTGTGATGTACTGTAAAGAGATGCATTGATTGCAGTTTTGTTTTGGGGCCTATTCTGATGAAGATACTGACCTCTCCACCCCCAGACTAACTTCTTAACCACCGTCAAATACGGTGGTTAAGAAGGTGGTTAGCTTCTTTATAAGCAGCGCTGTGCTAGGGAGAGACACGCAGGTCACCGCTGTTGAATAAGTTAGTTGTTCCTCATGTTTTCTAGTTTGTTCCTCCACGGCTTGTTTTTTTTGGGACTTGCAGTTGCAGACAAATTGTGAGCTTTATGTCTTCTCCACTCACCGACACATGCGGCGCGTGTGCCTGGCTGCGACGTTGCTGTGTGCCTGCGTGAAACTATCATGCACGCGGCGGCACACGCGTGTAAATTTGGCCAATCAGCTAAGAACCGGCCTGTTGGTCGATGGGCAGCATATTGATTTGTGCGTGTCTGGTGAGGAGTCTCAATTAGTTTTTATTGATTTTTTTTGAATGAATAGTTTACATACAGACAGTGGCTCATATTGCACAAAGCGTAGTGCTATGGTGATAAAAAAAATAATAAAATGCGCTGTTTACTCTGATTATATGCATATGGTGGTGTGTTCTATATACTTTGCCAGTTTTTCTAAAATTAGATTTAGGAAATCTCAATATATCGCCTTGTATATATTGACACAGATGATTGGTATTTTATCAACAGATTCTTGCCAAAACAACCCTAGACTGCAGTGCCAATAATCTAACATTAATATGAATATGAATGCTGTGTACAATTCTAGTTGGATGGTCAAATAGTAAATGCTTGGAGGTTACTTTGTTTATTAGGATAAATAACCACATTGTCTGCCCATCCTTCAGGGATGGGTTTGTCTGTTGGGGGATGCTGATGTCTGAATTTTTATTATTGGCCTTTAGACGACATGTTTTCCAGGGAACACATCTGAGTAATATGTTTATTTGATCTGGTTGAGATCAGTGTTCTGTGAAAGACTTGACCTCATGAACCAGCACACATCACATTTCTCAATAAGGGCCTTGTGTTTGCTGAACGCAGTGTGCTTACAGGGTGTGTTATATTGAATTAATCAGAAGAAAACAACAGTTTATTAGATAAATGAATAGATCTCGTCACTCTCAGTGAAAAAACCCTCCTTTGCATTATTTGAAACGGTGGCTACGACCGGTCGGAAACACCTGTTGTTTTTGGAACTTTTCCGCCAGTTTATGGCCGCTACAGACTAGCTGCTGTGAGAACCTGGCTCAACAATTGCCACCAATGGAGCGTAAATCTATAGTGTGTACCTTTACACTCACTCGAGCCCTCTTAGCACATCTGTTCCACACTAATCCAGATGTTTGACAGTAACTCAACTGATTCCTAACTTTGAACCTCTTCTCTGTCTTTCCATCAGGTTTTTGGTATTAAGATCACAGACATCACAACAGGGCCAAAGGTGAGTGTTTTTTTCCTCTATTTATTATATATTTATTTTTTCCATTTCAGTTGTCGCTTTCACTTTTCTTCATCTTTCTCTCGTTGAAGTGTCTCAAAAAAATAGACTTTTGTTTTACTAACAAAACACACATAATAACTATTTCAATCAACCACAATAATCCTCATCTCAAGCATCATTGAGGAAAATGTGGATTGGCTCCATGACGGATGTAATTACAAAAGACGACCACTAGAGGGAGTCAGAGTGTTTCTCTCTGAGATGCCTCTCATCCTTTCACTCCTGGTGAGGTACCCAAGGCAGCACAAGAAATATAAAAAAAAAAAAAAAATCATATTAGCAGGTGTACACATGGAGCATGTTGGAGTTGTATTGAGTGATTACCATGTCTTTGGGGAGGACGCTGTTCTTGGAGATGTCCGGTACTTTGAGAGGGGATTAGACAGGTGGAGGGTTTGATTCTGCTCCCCTGTGTTAATTCACAACAGTCTCTCTCCTCTGCTAGTCCCCTCCTTCTTTTTTCTTTTTTTTACACTCTACCCCATCGCCTCCCCTCACCGACTACTGATAGGGCAGACATGGAGTCAACAGAGGAGAGAAACTGCGAGAGGGAGGGAGGGAGAGAGAGAGAGAGAGAGGGAGGGGAAGAGAAGAGAATTCGGATACACGGGAAGGACTAAAGTAGAAACAAAGAAACACTGCAGGTGTGTGGCGTTCTGAACGTCATTAGTGAAGGACGGGCAGACCATGTGTCCACAGTGAGGTCCCAGCAGCTGAACTTGCATTCGGCTCCGGGTTAGTCTACATCACTCTCTGGCTGATTTTGTAACGGCATAAGTGCTGACCGAGCCATGGCCCTCCTCACCAACGGCGCGCAGCATCTGGGCTCCTACTACTGCCTGATCCGACGCAGGTTCAAGAGGAGGCGCAAGAAACGCTCTGAACGCAAAGGTAAACCTCCCCCCACACAGCAGCAGCAGCACGTTGACAGCCGAGCTCGTTGTGGACTTTGTCGTGTTTAGCGAGCTGGAGAGAGAGCAGAGCTGCTCACTCGCCTGGTTTATGACAACTTGTCTGTGAAGTTTGAAGTTGTTGACGGCATCGGCAGACTGCTCTGAGATGTGACACCGACTGTGCCTTGTAGTTGGAGAGCTTTAAACTCTTTACTGTGTGTTTTCGTTTAGAATAGAAAAACATCCGTTTTATTTAGTGTTTTCTGTGGTGGTTTACATGCAGAGCATTTTATTTTTATTTGCATCAAAACTGCCTTTTGTCAAAAATTACTTTTTATTACGCAATAATGTCTGAAAGATAATTGTTAGAGGACATGACCAGAGTAATTGCGCATACAAAAAAGTCAATATATGGTTTTAATATGATTTTTCAATGATAAGTTTTCCTTTAAGAGAAACGTATATTTAAACGTATTATATTATATTTTTGTAACAAACATGAAAATTAAATTCTAGATATTTCGTCCCGTTAGTTCGAGGCCTTATCACTATATTATTGACCACATGGATTCCATGTGTATTTTCATGTACTATAAGAGGAAACACACCTATAGATTCAAATTAAGCCTTTTTAAAATGTTGTGTTATACGACCATCAACAAAAGTATACATAGTTTTACTCTTATGTTCACAACTCTGTCTGATGTAAACAAACCATAAACACCAATCCTGTTTTGTTTTTTTCAGTCACTGTGTATAAATTCGTCCTAACCAGTAGACGCTCCATCAGAAAACATTAACAACTTGACTCTAGTGTTCGCATGCGTATTAAAAAAAAACAGCTGTCAAATCAATTCAGGGAAGACCAGGGTACAAATGTGTCTTATGCGTATTTCGACCGCGTGTTTCCATTCTGTATTCAGTGGTCGATGGAAGCCGCAGTTCTAAAGAAAACGTGTGAATCTGAAGCCGGAGTCATACATTATGTGTTTTTGATTGAACACACTGTACGTCTGTGTATTTGTTTAAAGATCAGAATTATTCATCTACTGAGTAGAGGCGATCTCTCTCTCTCTCTCCCTCTCTGAGTGAGACAGGTCCGTGTCTCTGTGTGATTGAAGTCCCCCCCCCAGAGGCTCTGAGCTTCTCTTCCCCCTGAGTTTGCTGCCCTGCTCTGGGGATTAGCCAAACTGCACAGGTAGTAATTACTAAGGTGGCCACAGCTCGCTGGCAACATTAGCCGTGTCTCAGCCACTCGCTTTGACACCCAGCAAGACCCCCCCACCACACCACACCACACACACACACACAGACACACACTCCTCATCGAGCCGCGTCCATTCATCCAAGTAAATCCACCTCTGCTGATGCTGCATTTCTAGCCCCCCCCAAGACTCTCACTGGAGCGCCGCTCGCTCGGAAAACCGACTACGTCCATCAGCATTACACAGGTCTGATTCCGGCCTTTTCACTCTCCCTTATCACCACGGGAACGAAAGTGGCACTTTTCCCACCACACCGAGAGAAGCGATGACTAAGCGGGACTTTGGGGGCCGGTGTGCTGCTTCAGTCACTCGCTCTCAGTCAGCTTTAATGCCCCCCCCCCCCTCCCCCCAACCCTGGAAGCCCTCCTGATGCTCTCTAGCTTTAGTGCCCGTCAGGTTAGCGGCATAGTCGCGAGGACGAGGTCACAGGCTTACTTAAGACAATCGTAACGCGACACTGACTCAAGGGAATGTCTTTGCTTGGTGGGCTCGTCGGCGAGGTCACAGTCGGCGCAGCACCACCAGGCTGGGTAGTCCATTACAGTAAGTGCAGATTAGTGTCCTCCGCAAGGACACTTGAACACGTCGATACAGGGGGTGGACCAGGGTCAGCTGTTTGAGTTTGAGCCATTATAACCACTATTCCACACCGCGGCCCTGAACACTGTTCTTTAATATGTGCTCCTAGTTCCGCCCCACTGATTGGTCGAAGGCTACGTTAGTTCAGCACATTTGGAATGTGTGCACGTGTCACACATTGGATCACAGAGAGATCATTAGCTTTAAGCTGTGAATTTGTCGTACACGTTTTATTCCAACTCACAGTAATCGTGTGACTGTTTAGCATGAAGTACCTGAATAATATGACTTCAGTACTTTGCCACTTAGCTGATGACATATACAAAAGCAGTTCAGTCATTCTTTACCCAGTTTAGGAGCATTCAGGGGAGCCTGCACACGAGCACAGGTGTTTTCAATTAGTTTGGTTAATTGAAAACACCTGCTACGCTGGGAATTATGAGACGCCACCTGACTAATGAGGATGATAAAAGTGTGCTTTTGCTTGTCCCAACCAGGTGCAACAAAGCAGGAGACTAGATGTCAATCAAGCACTTTCTATACACACACACACTAGGTCTCATTAAGCAAAACAAGTACAGTTCCTTGTATAGTGGTGCAGGGACGACGTATTGTTGTAGGATAAACCCTAGAAGTTAGCATCGCACTGGTTCCCTCGACAAAAAGCCAATGAGATTTTTTCCATTGGATTTTGGATAATTCCAAAAAATTATCTCTGTGGCAAACAAACGTTTATGATAATTTCACGTTGAACTTTATCGTAGAACAAAACGTTCAAATCTCTTGAATTTGTGTTAACCACAGACTTTATTTCACGCATCTAACCAAAAACCCATTAAAAAAACAATACATTGACCTCAAGACGAGGGAACCGGAAGTGAAAAGAAACTCATTTTTGTATTTTAAAAACTTATTCCAACACTCTATTTGAGTGTACAAGGTTCATTTATTGTGTTGTCACATTTTGCTACATAAGAACACAAAGCTGTTGCCAGACTGCAGCAGGGTGAACGGGCTGCGGCGGTTGTCGTCTTCACCTCGGGTGTGCGGGGCTATTGCAAAATCTATGCATCTTTAGAAAAAGCTGTTTGTATTTGTTTTGCATCATGCCTTGATTGATTATCACAATAGTCCACATGTAGCTCAGTGTCACACTGTTCATTTCCGACCAAATGTTTTGCACACACGTCCCCGAATTTATACTTTTTTACAGTCTACACAGGACCTGCAGGGTGAGCAGTCTAGCTGTTTTTTACCCTCAGAAAAGTTCAGGGTCAGATCAAAGCATGACGGAGTTTTTCCTGTGATGATCATGTATTAATACACAATAGTGCAAGAAGTACTCAGATCTGTTCCTTAGTATGTAATAGATTAAACATCTTAAACAGTATGAAGACTGGCAGTTTCAGGGTTTCTGGGTCCTGGGTGTCTGTCTTCATTAATGTTATCAGTACAGTATCAGTTTTTTAAAAAAGCCTATCAATGGCTCTTTACAAACATCTCACTACAGTGTTATGTAAGCATTGAACAAGAATATTGCTGATGAATACTTTTCCTTTTATTGTTTTTTATGCCTTGTCCTAATATTGTGTTGCAGTACCTTTGATTCATCTTTTGTTTATATAGTTCTATATAAATAAAATGATTATATTATTATTTTATTACTTATTTCAATAATCTGCAACTCTGTATATCCGGTAGGGCTCGCATTTACTCTCGATGTAGGTAATCATAATTTACCTTTCCTTTACAGTTTAAGTGAATTACCATAGAGAGCACAGTGACTTTCAAAATGCTGAACTCAAGCATATCTTCCAAGTGATAAGTTCTTCAGTGCACCTCTCATAAATGTGCCAAGCCATGACACTCGGAGACGATGCTTGCCAATGGGCCGTGTATGAAATATGAAAAATGAGGGAACAGAGGCCTTTTTCTGCCGTGCCAGCAAAAATCTCCAAAATGAGCTTTTGTAACTTGAAAGTGGGGGGGGCTTAGAGGGGGGAGGGGAGAGGGATCTGCACCGTCTGGTGCTCACAATCCATCGCCGTGGAAGCAACTTTGCCTCCAACAAGACTGTTTCTGCAGTTTTCTCCTCTCCTTACATCCTTCCCTCTCCCTTCCTTCCTTCTCTCCTTTCCTATAAACCAACTTCTTCTCCCGCTTTTTCTTCCTTCATTTACGCCTTAGAATGTTCTCATGTTCATACATTCATGCATTGATTGACTCAAAGCCATTCAGAAGTTATTCAGAACAATAACGAAAAGTGCGGCTTCTTAATTGATTTCGTTTTAGAATATTCGAAGCAAATGCATCGAGACGCGAAACAAGATTTACAGCCTCTGGAAAAAAAAAAAAAAAAAAAAGCTCAGACAGACCGATTAACATTTGACAACAGACACAATGGAAATCAAATAGCAAACACGGTCCCATTCATTTACCCAACAACTGTTTATTACGAGCGCCGCTTTATTTAGTGGCACAACATTTCCAGGCACGGCGGCGCTCTGTCATGATAAGAAATTAGCTGTGTCTGCCCGTCTCAGTGTAATTAGCCTTGATTAGCATGCCGCTATTGACTGTAACAGACTGACAGAGGGTGGGGGGGGGGGGGGGGTGTAACCATTGTAGCGAGAATGCACAAACCGCCGAGGTGTGTTTTTAGCTGGCGGAGAGGCACTTCATGGCCCCTGGAGATGTATGCAGGGGTTCATGTCGGCTCCCTTCATCGGCGCAGAGATGAACTCCATGTGGTACGCTGAGAGGAATTTCTCGAAACAAGACGAAACGTAACATATGATTCTCCCAACCAAATATATAAAACCTATATAAAACTGTTGCCTGCAGTACGGAGGAAAGGTTCATTTCTAACTCTAGAGTCTCACCACAGACGGAGCTCAATCACAGTCCATATAGCTCTTAGCCCCAGCTTGTTCTCGGATGCTACATCCGTCCTCCCACATCCTCTCCCCTCCCCCCACCTCTGACATGCGTCCTCTCAAGGTGTATGAACACTTTCTCCCACCCTCTGTCAGCTGCCACAACCTTTTTCATCAGGCAGACGTCCCCCCCCCCCCCCCACCCCGTCGTCCTTCTTTTGCTGTCTGTCAACAGTACCTCTCTGCCTGACGATAGCAAGAAGGGCGCGAGGTGTGAA